AAACGTTGTGGCTTGGCTCTCCAACACACCGGTGTGCTATGCTAGTGACGAATTGCATGTTCTGTTGACGTGACAACCCCTACTAGTTGGCTGTGTCGGGTGGTGGCGGGTTTAATGACATTTCTATATTTACACGATCTCACCCAAAAAAACTCTTATGGATGATATTGGTCGCGAAAGCCTACGTGTTAAACAGGCTTGGACATTTTGATTTAAAGCTTTCGTGACTGCAGTAATTCATATTCTTAGCACTTTCGGTAAAGTCACGTTGAAGGGAAACAATAAAATATATATAAAACAATAAAAAAACCACACCTGATGATGACCGTTTGCGTTATGGTCGAAACGTCGTGAGAATTTTTATTGTTTTATATATATTATTATTTTATATATTATTTTACTGTTTCCCTTCAACGTGACTTTACCGAAAGAGCTAAGAATAGGCTTGGACGTTGTCAGGCTTTTGATGATTGTCTTCCACTGTCATTATTGACAAAAATAAGCCCCCACTTTTGTTTGTTTCTTAGGCCGCTTGTCCTGGTGAGGGCCGTGGTGGCAGCATGTTGAGTACGGTTGTCCAGACCTCCCTTTCGCTGGCGACAGACTCTTAGTCGACAAATATTTTCACGCTGCCCAGCTCCTCCCTCGGCTGTCGCCGCTCTGTCTCAAGTCGGCTACATATAGCTATGTTAATGAAGTAACTGCCGTGAGACGTGGCCGGGGATCGAACTCTTGTTGCCAGGTTCGCAGCGCAGTGTTCTGTTAGCCGGGCAGTGGTGGCGCATTCCTGTAATCCATCACCGGAGGCAAAGGTTGGTGGGTCATCGCACCAACGTTGTGAAACTCCCTTTGGGCAGCCGGGAGAAAGCGGTACAGCACATGCGTGTGTGTGTATGTTTAACTTCTTTCGTACCGTACGTCGCCAACCGTGCTAATAGGAGGTACGGGATAATATGAGCTTCACGTGTTCTGTCTGTATGAGATCGAGTGTTTCCCCCCTCACATCCGTGGGTTTTCTCCGGTCGCTCCGGTAACACCTTGATATATACAGGACCGCAGAGCTTTGGAAATTGTTGCTGCCCGCTCACTGGTCTGTAGTTGCATTCTCGTGCCTCTGAGTCATTCTCTCTCTTTGGGAGTGAGCGAATACGTTATGGCGCATTACAACTTAAAATTATTCTAATAATGAGATGCCGGTGCTTCCCCTCAGGACAGCAGTGGTCCTGCTATAGATGAACTGGCTCCTGCCATGGGATTGTGGATTTTCCACACACTGGCTCGGGCTCGTAAAAAAGGTGAAGACAGCGCCGTAGTTCACTTTGCAGCAAATTAACGATTCGCCCCCTATACGGATTTCCGCTAAACTTCACGATTACATTATAGTACCACCTAGTGGTTGCCACAGTCATTTGAATCAATTAACCCTTTCCGTTTTTCTTCAAATTCCGTTCCAATGGTAACTTTATAGCCGCGTGGAGGCTCCCACAAGGCCATGCGGCAGGACGGTGTATGGCACATTTTGGCGCCATATATCATAGAGTGCGGTTGTGTCGCTACAGTACTCTGCAATGGGTAAAATGTCTCTAAAAACAAGGGTGCTATTATGCCTCTAAATAAAATTAAAGCTCACCGCTGGCACGTTCCGAGATTCGGCGGTGAACGGGACGCCCACCCTGCAACTTGCAGACGTCTTGGAATGGGAAAGGGTTAATCACAGCACATAGGAGTAGTCCTCCAGCCGTGGATTGCGCCGCTCCTGGTCTTTGGGGATGATAGGGGGTGGGGGCGTGGTGGAGGCTGCGGCATGGATACAGTGCAGGACAAATGTCGAATGGGCACGGAGAATGTTGGCGCCACGTTGCAGTGACGAAACTAAATACGCAACCCGAAGTGGACGCCTTGCAAAACACTGCAGTGACTCGGGGCGTGGTGGACGTGTGATCTCTCTGTGTATTGTAGCCTTGGTGACCTGGGAAGGTAAGGAGTGGGGGGGGGGACACTTGGACCAAATAGGTAGAGAACTCCTGGTGTATTCGAAACGAGAATAATCGAATCTGGTTCGCGGTGTACGGTACGCCGATCGACATTGGAGGGGAACAGAAACTCCGCGAAAATTAGAATTTGGCGCGATGGGACCGCCGTATGGAGAGGGGTGGTGTGTGCGGTTCGTAAGCGTACATGTTAACTGGGGGAGAAACACATACACTTGATTTTAAACAAAAGTTCCATGCCCGTTTGTTCGACAGTCGCAAGGAGAAGTGCCCCTGCTGTGTCGTCAAAATATTTTTGTGAACTGGAGTTTGTTTTTGTCGATTACCCTGTTGGGGGGGGGGGACTGACTGCTGGAGCCAGTTCCATTTTTTTGTGGGCGTAAAGGCCCCTTCCAGCACGAAAGCGAGTTAAGAAAAACCACGCTTGTGCGTGGATTACATAACGCTTTCCAATTGTCTTCCAGAGCATTTATTTAGGAAATCGACGGGGAGATGTACGTACGTTGAACTTCTTTTGCACCATATGCAGCCAACCGTGCTAATCGGAGGTGCGAGATGTGGTGCAAATTGAATTTGCACCTTTTTGTCCACCCTTTGGTCAGTTTGGCCAGCTTTCAACAGGACCCCTGTCTTAACAGACAGAAGGTCTGTGCCTTTAAACGCCTGGTAGTTCATTCGAATTGGGGTTCCAGAAGGCCTCACTGCTGATGTGACCCTGACTGTCCAATCCGGTCCATAGATTTGTTTGTGCTGAACCAATATTTCTGAGACTATGCACTCCAGAAGGGCTGTGCTTCTGATGGAATGTATAATTTTTACTTTTATACGTGTGTATTTTTTGTGGAGGAACACATACATATGAAGGAGGTTTATAGCCTGCATAGTGACTGTCATTAACTTTCATTAATTTCCAATTAGGGACAGATATGTAAAGGTGGGATATTGTGTTATAACTTATTCTCAGCAACGATGCTAATTATTATTCAGTGTTATGTTTTATGCTGGAGGTTCACTTCGTCTACATTTTTAGATGCACATTTTTTTTCCCGTATTAAAAAAAACCAATGTGGTGGTTGTAGTGCGGAGAATGCAACGTGGCTCGCAGAAGACGTGCCCCCATCTCGTTGCTCCAGAATCGCAGGCACGCCACCAGCCGTTCAGAAACATCTTCCAGAATACGTCCTCTCTCCCCCTTTGTAAAGCGGTGGGTTCGTGGTCATTCCGTGGAATATGGTTGTCCGTGGCGATAACCGTATCCACGCATCCGATCAGCACGGTTGGCTACATACGGTGCAAAATAAGTCCGGCATGCACACATGCATTCTCTCCCGATTACAAAGCGCACTTGAAAGAAAATAAAAGCTTTGGAAGTTACGTCTTACTTTCTGGAGCTTCTTATAATCCGGAGATTACGGTATCATTACGGTGCCCGCTACCTTCCTTCCCCCCCCCACCGATAAAGCTAATGCATAGCCGTTTTCAACATTGGTGGGCAGTGGTTAATATGCAAAGTTGGAGGATGGCGGCACGCACGCCATGCTGTAGAGCATTGTTTATCAGCTTCGTAGACCAAATCCCAAATTTGTAGCAAATAAATTCCTGGACGTTGCAGTCAAAAAAATGTCATTCAGGTGAATTGTGGCGGCGGGACCCGTGGAGCTGCCGGGTTCACAGCGTGTGAACCCGGCAACCTGAGTTTGATTCCTGGCCACGGCTAACGTTGGTGGCGATTGATATCTGAACTGGTTCTCTTCACTGGCTCTCCTTCACTCACCCGTACTGATCAGCTTGGTGAAGTATGGTCAAACGATGAGTGGATAATAATCACGGGGAGGCCTTCATCCAGCAGTGGATTGACGAGAGCTGTGAATTATTGTTCTAAATTTGTTGCGATCATCTTGAAGTCTTGCTTAAACAAGTCTTAACAAAGGAAGTTACATTTTAGAAAATGATTGAAACTAACGAATGTTTCTTTATTAGGCGAGTAAAAATTTACACTTGGGGTTGAATTGCTGAATTGTTGCTCTTCAGGGTGCGTTTCTATTCAACAATCTTTTTAACATTGTGATTGATGGTAGCACCGCCATTGGCTGTAAGGGATCACGTAAAACCATGACATGCGACATGTGTGGGTTTTACAGCCCTTTTGGAAATCCCCCGCTGGATGACGTACAACAAAAACATGCACACACAACGTAGCTGGAATTGTATAAACATCCCGATGCTGAAAAATTTACTGCAAAATTAAGTCGAATGGGATAACACAAAGCAACATCGCCCCCGACTGAAAAAAACTTAACAGGACCATTCTGAGAGAGTTTTGAGACTCGGTAAGGCTTTCCTGGGTAAGCATACAGAATAATATTGACACTGGAGCGATGATGGGCTGAGTTGACGCTACTACCCTACTCCATAACTGGACTTGATCTCAACAATCTTTCGTTCGGAATTCGTTGTCAATCGAAGCGGTGGCAGTAGAGCAAGTGGATGCATGAATCCATCTGTGCTGCTCTTTGAGTATTGTCTGCGCGTACTCTCCCTGGGTAAACAAGTATAATATTAATAATGAAAGGATTATGCCTAATATGGCTGATGATTATTGATAAGCCTTCTCGGCCAATCCGATGACGTCCCATGGCACGTGCCTCCGCGATGATGTCATCGTACGGGACATCCCGCAGCATCTCACGTTGCTTGTTAGCGTGCGTGTGTACGTTGCTCCTACAAGGTGCGTCAGCGTAGCGGTTCGTTCGTACACTGCACGACAATCCCGGTGACCCGAGGTTGATTCTTTGGGCCTCCCCTCGGGCCGACTCCGCTTTAAATAGGTACCTGGTGCGGTGTGTAAACATTGGCACCGGAAAGACAAAGGCGGCCGGGCGTGGCGCCGGCCACCCACTCCCTCGTGTGCTGTGCCAAACTTCTTTGGGTGCTCGCTAACAGCACTTGTCTCAATGGTCTGTTAAAGCTACACAGGGGGGGGATCTTTGTCTTTCTTGCCACCTCAAGGTTCCCTCAAACGGAGCGGGCATGAACCCTGGTTCCGAGCCGTGGCAGAACCTCGCGCACAACGACGGCGCCTCCTCGCCCGGCACCTCCGTGGACGACTCCGCCTCCTGCAAGGACCCCAACATGGCCCCCACCTCCACCTCCGAAGGTGAGAGGTTCGGCGGCAGGATTGTCGTGGTGGCGACGACGGGCGTCGATGGTCGTGCTGCCGGAGGCGGCAATGATTATTACGGTTGGGGGTCTGGGCAGTTCGCCTGTGTACCCCCTACGGCCAATTGATGCCTGGTGCCGGTGGCGCAAATAAATAAATGTCCTGCTTGCGGGCGTGTGGCTTCACGTCGAGTTGCAATGTGCGTTGTGCTCGTTGTGCCCCCACCCCTCACTGCAGCCGCATGCCGACACATCAATGGGGAGGCTGAGATGAGGCAGCCCTCACCACCGGCGCTTGGCGATGCCACCACCCACGCCGCTCACACAGCCCACACCGGTACCCATCTCACACACGCACCTATACCCATACACTGCACCCACACACTGCACGCACACACTACACGCACGCACACACTGCACAACAACAACCACCATTCGGCACTAAGTGGCGGTGACGTCACCACGACGTTTGTGCCAGGCTGGGTGCAAGTTGAGACCACGTCAGGTGTCGAACGCCCGCTGGCAGGAGGTTACGGGGCAGACCCAGGTGCCACGGGTCGACTGGCTGATTCACCACCTGTGCCCCCAACTGTACCAACTCCCTGTGCTTTAGCCACCCGGCGCTCCTCTCGTTGTTGAGCGTCGCTCCTCCACCCTCCGTTGTTGCTGGAGGGCGACTGCTTCCAACTGCCCAGTGGCGTCCTTCACGAGCCTCCTTCACAGAGGCCGATCTTGACACTGCTGGTACCAGTCATCGGCAAGTCTATTCAACTCCACATCCTCCTGTATCACATCACTCCATCTCTTCTCCAGCCCGTGGCGCGCCTGTTTAGCCCCCTGTATCCGGCCGAACAAAAGCTGTTTAGGCATGCGGTGACTGGGCATGCGGGCTACATGACCCAGCCAACGCAGCCTTGCCTGCTGGAGGAGCTCACCGATGGGACTGTCCAGATCTTTAAAGGATTTGTGAGCTCCTCGCATAATCCAGCCTGGTTAAACCCAGGATGGATTGTAGGCAGGCAAGCCTAAATGTTTCCAACTGGCGAAGATGTTCAATTAGGGGGGTCCACGTTTCGCAAGCATAGAGAAGGGAGGGAATGACTGGCCGAGAAGACCTGAAGCTTCGTGCAGGGCGACAGACCAGGAAGCTTCCACACAACGTTGCGCAACCGATGAAAAGATAATGCCGCTCGACTGATTCGGATTGAGACCTCTGCTGTCAAACCGGAGCCGGTCATGAGCACACTGCCCAGGTATGGGAAACTTTCCACTCTCTCCACAACTGCCCCATCACCAATTGGGAATTGTGGGAGTGGAGTGCCCGTTGGTACAAAATACCCAGGCAGGTACTTAGTTTTAGTGGGGCTGATGGTAAGGCCCCACCTCTTAGAGGCACGCTCCAGGTTCAGCAGCAGCACCTCCAACTCCTCCTCTGAGTGAGCAGCAATTACCAGATCATCGGCATACATAACGTGGTTGACCAATAGGGAGCCATCCCTTGACCGCACCCGGGCATCGATCAGCCTCCCATTGTATCTGTACCAGATGGAAATTCCTCCGGTACAGCCATCAAGGACTCACGAACTATGGTCGAAAAAGATGTGAAATAATATGGGAGCCAGACGACATCCCTGTCGCATTCCAAGGTGAACAGGGAATGGCTCCGACTCCCGGCCACGTAGTTTTACCCTGGCCCGCTCACCATCCTGAAGGTCCTGAATGATCGTGAGCAGAGGGTCAGGGCCTCCGAAAGCACGAAGAATAACCAAGAGCCCAGGCCTACTGATGGTATCATAGGCCTTGACCAGGTCAATAAAGCAGAGATGCAGGTCTTGTTGGCATTCCCTATACCTCTGCTTGAGCAGATGGACAGAAAATATGGCATCTGTGCAGGACCGCCCTTTCCTGAAACCACATTGGGGCTCCGCAAGCCTCTCCTCAGCGTGCCTGGCAAGGCGATGTTCAATAAATTGCCAGGACCTTTCCCGGCACACTGAGGAGTGAGTTGCCCCTGGAGTTGTTACAGTCTGTGCGGTCCCCCTTCTTAAAGAGGGGGACCACCAGGGCATTCTTCCAATCTTACGGAACCCGCCCAGTGGTCCAGACTGTTGTTATTATGTCATCTAGGGCAGTCTGTGCACAAACGGCACCCTCCCTCAGCATTTCGCTTGGGAGATCAACTCTGCCCAGTGCCTTTACTGGTCTCAGACTCTGGATCGTCTTTAGTACTTCCTCAACAGATGGCACCTCAGCCAGCCACTCACAGGGGGTGACTTTTTCCAGTATTTGAGACACTGCAGCCTCAGCAAAGTCATCATCCCAACTTTGTCCCACGATATTTTCCATGCCGAGGGATTTACTCTCCCCCAGGACTTCACGGAAATGCTCAGCAAATCTGCAAAACTGTTCCTGGGGGTCGGAGATATTGATGTTAATAGGTGTGGCGCTGCAGGTTACTTTTTTGATGGAGTTAAATAGTGGTTTGGGATCGCGGGCCATTGAGGCAGACTCCATCTCCTCAGCAACCCGTGACCATCACCCATGCTTGCAGCACCTCACGGCTTTCCAAACCTCCGAGCGAAGGCTGCGGTGAGTCTCATTATTTGACGTGGGATGCTGTAGACGATGAGAGTGGGCCTGTTGCTTTTTTCTCAGCCAGCCTGAACACCTCCTCTCTCTGCCAGGGTCTCTGGGGAGGTCTGGACCGTGTACCCAAAGCAGCCATTGCAGCTGCATGAGTCACAGTCCTAAACCTCGCCCATTTCCCCTCGACATCTGGAGGAGTGGGGGTCGATGCCAACCCCATCCGCAAGCGATGATTCTCGCTTGCAACTTTCATCAGCTAGCCGAGACCAGGCTACCTTGGGTTTGAATGGGGTCCTGGGTGTACACCCACCACCGTAGTGGAAGAATAGCAGGCACATGTTACAGATGACAAGTCGATGGTCAGTGGGCAGATCAGCTCCACGGTAGGTTCTAGTGTCAAGGACATGGGCCCGCATCCGCTGTTCCGACACTACGTAGTTCAGCAGATGTTCTTGCTTGGACCCGGCATGCATCTATGATGTTGTGTGGATGCGCCGATGTCAGAACAGCGTGTTGGTAATTACAAGCCCCATGGGTACACAAAAATCTAGCAGCCTCCTACCGTTGTTATTGAGCTGATCTCGCTCATGCCTTCCAATCACACCAGACCAGGTACCAGCATCATGACCAACTCAGGCAATGAAGTCGTCCAACAGGATGTCTCTATCCCGAGGGGCCACTTTAGCTAGTACCTGTGACATGAGGTCATAGAAGCCATCTGACTCTTCGGCCTTGCCTGCATCCCTCCACGGATGTTTGTCTTCGGTGGGGGCATAAGTAACCACGACCACCACTCCTCGCCTCCGGTTGATGGGAAAGCAAGCCCAAAGTAGTCTGGGGCTTACCGCTTCCCACACCTCACTGCCATGCTCCCACGCCCCCTTCATTCTTTTGTTCAGAAGAAGAGCCACTCCATGTTGTTTGGTAGTCTCCTTCCCCGAGTAGAGAACTGTCCACCCCTCATGGTGGCAGGAGCCAGAACCGGTCCACTGGACCTGAATACCACAGAGATCCACTGCACACACGCACATACTACACACACATACTACACACACAGACTGCACGCACTACACGCACGCACACACTAGACACATGCAGTGCACGCATGCACACACACTGCACCCACACACTGAACAAACGCATGGACTTCATACACTGCACGCACGCAGTACACGCATGCACTGCACACTTACGACGTACATATACCGCATACACTGGTACCCATCCCACATGCCACACTCGCACACAACACACATACTGCACACTTACACCACACACATACCACACACTACGTAACAACAACAACCACTGTTCGCCACTAAGTGTCGGTGATGTCACCATGGCGCCACTCACTAAATACACGTACTGCATACACCGGTACGCATCCCACACGCACACTACACGCGTATTGCACACTTACACCACACATACACCACATACACTGGCACCCCCATTAAACTATTTGGTATCCATGACACTAAGCACACCGCACACATTGGCACCCGTGCAATACACACAAGTAATTTAGCGCTAGGCCAGGAGTTGAACCCATCATCTCGTCTGGAACGGTTAATTTTCTCTGACACAGCCATCACTCCCCCGTGCCATTTGGCCACCGCCACCTCTGTGTTTTGAGCCGTTGTTGATTGGCCTTCATCACTGGCGAGGGGTCTTAGTTGGTCACGGTGACCTGGTGTGGGCCTCGTGCCCCTTACGGCGGTGATGGCTCATGGGAGTAGATTTGTTTTTCCATGCATAACGATCAACAGGCCTGGTGTTAGCTCGACATCCAGCGTGTGTGTTTGTTGAACTTCTTTCGCACCGTACGTGGCCAACCGTGATAATCAACAGGTACTGCCCACGTCCAGTGTTAATTCGGGCGATAAAATGTATTATGTCAACAAAGCACATTGTTTTATTGATTAAATCATCGAGCCTGTGACTGACTACGGCCGCCCCACTGCAGACCAGAGCGAGACCAACTCGGACTTTTTTAGCCTGAAAGTAGACACAAACTTTAGATGACTTAAAAATATATGTATGATTAATTTCAACTCGCAATGTGGCACCGCACAGTTCTCGCGCTCACTCTTGGGAGCGAGAGAGAGCGAGAGAGAGTGAGAAAGAGTTGCGAGAGAGGCGTGATGAGGAGGAACCACGCATGAGCGACCAAGGCAGCAGCGGCAGCCACGCCGCGGCGAGGAGCCGGCGCTGCCATCGATTATCCCAGCTCAATTTAGCGAGGTTATTGACCCTCTCTCGTTCCGAGACGACTTAAAATTGCAGGGTGGGTTGTCCCGTTCACTGCTGAATCTCGGGACACGCAAGCGGTTCGGCGTTAATTTTATTTGAAGAGGCGTAGCGCCGTCGCGTTTTAAAAACATTCTTACTATAGAGAACTGTAGCAGCACGACCGCACTCGACGATGGCTGACGCCAAACTGTGCCACACGCCCTCCCGCGTGGCCTTGTGGGAGCCTCGGTACAGATACAATTATTTTATTTTTTCTTCCGGTTGCGTTCCGATGGCGTGCATGTCTGGTTCCGGGTCATCGGAAGGGAATCGGAAGGAACGGGGGAAAGGGTTAGGAGCTGAGAAAGAATAACCGTGGTAGTAATTCTACTGCTGCGTTTGTCTATGAACAGACTACCAAGTTCACTGATTGGCTGACAGTGATGCTCAGGGCGGGGAATTTAATTGCTGCCCACACCAACAATAACTGGGAAGAGTGGCCTCGGGTCGTTTTCATGTCGGATATCCTGAAGCTTGATATCACGATGTGTGCACGAGTCCACGCGTGTAAGAGTCTGTGGCTTGTTTTGTTTCCGTGGGGGGGGATTGGGGGGGGGGGGGCAGACAAGCCGTGGCTCATGTGCTACGCGGTTCTCGGGCGAAAGAGAGAGGGAGAATAAATAATAATTTACTACAGCAAAAACGGTAAAATCAAATCATCGTGATTACAATTCTATCATATGCAGTTGTAGTGTTAATCTGTTATGTCTTACATAATCAGTGATAATCTATTCTATGATATTTAAGCATATTGATGTATTCTAGCCTATTAGTCTCTGATGTCCAATTGTATCATTAACATTTATCAGTGCAAATCAGAACTATGGTATCGAATTATTTGTGAAAATGTATTTTTTTAATATCCAATAATAGCGGTTAAAATAATAGTGTCCAATCATAGTAATAATACATTGCATGATATCCAATCATAGTGGTAATATGGAGTGTAATATCCAATCAGTGATAATCTAGGCTATAATATACAATCGTCGTGATGATCTGTTCTTTACTAATAGTCCGTGATGTCCAATCATAGCAGTGAGATAGACCTTGAAATCCAATCGGTGATAATCTACACCAGGGGTGTGCAACCAAAAGTAACAAGAAGAGACATTTTTTTCGAATTCGGTTAAACACTGAATATTTCAAGAGCTGCGATGCGTGTGGTGAATTTGAGGTTTGAGATATGAGATTTGAGTGCTTGCTCTGCGGACGGTCCGTGTTTGATCTGCGTTTACTGGCCTAATGGAATGCTAAGGGGCCCCGTTGCCCAGTCAGCAATTCATCTACCTAACCGCAAACAATGTTCTGTTTTTTTATGTTTGTTTCGCAACACCGAAGACAACTGGGGAAGAGGGGGAGGGGATGGGTGGGGAAGGGGCATGGTGTGGGGTTTGACAGACAACTCAAAGCAGAACTGTTCAAACAAAAATAAGTCCAGCTTGCGCCTGGCAATTGTCGTTTACACCACCGTGCCCAATGATTACATCTCTCCCTGTTGTTTTTTAGTTATAGTAAAATGTTTTGTGGGGATGAAACTCTTCCATTTGGGAGATCCACTGAACTGCTTTTTGTGTAGAACTGCTTTTTGTGTCTAGTTTAAGGTCTTCTCCCGCACCTCCGATTAGCACTTTTGGCTACGTACGGCACGTAAGAAGTTCAACGTACTTGCGTCCAGTGGCTGGGACACGGGAGGCAGCGGAGCAGTGTTCAGCTTTGCCGTAACTGGCGTTGCTGGAGCACCAGCGAGCTCTCTCGATCTGTGTGGCACACCTCGGAACCAAAAAAAAAAGTTAAAGCGCTGTGGGCCCGGGTGGGAGTTGAGTGGGCCGGGGTTGGGGGATGACGGCTGTACTACAGTACTGCGGAACTGCGCCTCGACCAATGGAGAAGGGGACGGGCGGGTGCCACGGTGGCGAGCTTGTCAACTGCCTCGCCTGGTATACATGACGTCGTGGGTTCAATCCCAACCCTGGCACCTGTTGTACATTTGTAGTTTGCATGTCTCTCTCCGTGGTCACGTGGATTTTTCTCCTCCGGTTTTCTCTCTTTAGAGTATTTGGCTGCCATGAATTTCCACGTGGCAAGCCACCTCGTTGAGGTATCATTTGTGGCCAGGTCGCTTCTGAAAAAGAGCTCTATAGCTCAGTGGGCCCTTGGGAAAATAAAAATAGCTTAGTATTGTAGTGCAAATGAAAAGGCCGCTCGACAGTATCAGCTCCGTTGATATTCCATTTTTCCTGTCGAAGTGCCTATATTCTAGAATCACTTAGCCCTCTCAATTACGTCTAATCTCAATCCGGACCAAAGCTGTGATTAAATTAACATCGACGACTTGGCTTCACCGGAAACCTTTGTTGATGCTTTTGTTTAGGGTCCTGTTTGTTTGTCTCAGTGACTGACTGGTGTGGTGTGTGATAACCATCACTTGGGAGACAGAGGGCATCCTGGCACAGTTCTAGCCACACCACCACCCCATCATGCCTCACGAGGTGCTCGATAACGGCACTTGGCCCCAGCGGTCTGTATAACTACAGGGGGTTGGTGCGTCTTTGTGTCTGCAGCTGAGGCCGCAGACTCGGAGGGCCTCCCTGAGGGCGGCTCCGCGCTCAGAGATGCGCTGAAGAAACAACTCGAGTACTACTTCTCCAGGTACTGCCGCTCGCACTGCCACTGAAGGCTGCCCTCTGTCGCCGGCGATCGTGGCAGTCCGACGCCGCCCCGGCTGCCATGGTGTTTGCGCCGACGCCGGGGCAGCAGTGTTGGTAATGAGAGGTCCGGGTCAGTTGAGCGTCGGGAGCGGTGGTGCAGCGGGTTAGCGCTACGCTGCGCAATGAACCCAGTTGCTATCCCAGCTGCCTGCTCGGCAGTAGCAATTTCATTTGCCTACGTGGTTACAGCAACTATTGTCACTGATTGCCATAAAATTGCCTTGGTGGAGGTGGTGAAAGTGGTGATGTTAATTGGGGTGGCAACGATGTTGATGAGGATGATGGCGAAGGTGGTGTTAATTTTGGCGATAATGAATGTGGAGGGGATGTTAACTGCGTTTACAGTGGCGGTGATGGCCGTTGCGGTGTTAACGACGGCGGTGATGACTCGTTAAAGCACAGTGATGGTAAGTGGCCGTTGTTGCTGTTGTGTCCGGGAACCCAGGGAGAACCTGGCTGGAGACGCGTACCTGCTCTCCCAGATGGACAGCGAACAGTTTGTTGCCGTGGAGACCATCGCCAACTTCAACCTCGTCAAGAGACTGACATCCGACATCAACCTCGTCACGGACGTGCTGCGATGTGAGCTCAGCCCCGTACATCGGTCGCACTAGCGTCGTTTCTTGCGCGCACAATGACAAAGATCCCCCGCGTTTTCTTTCACAAACTGTTTGGGCAAGTGCTGTTGGCCGCAGCTTACGTGGTTTAGAAAAGAAGAGGGGGGCATGACGGGGTAAGCGATGATGTGGAAGGGACGAGAGGCATGCACTATGCCTCTCTGCGTCCTGTCGGGCCCCTTGAGAATATTTCTAAGGTTGATAATACCAGAGTCCAGTGGACGGCAACACCGACCATAAAAAATAATCAGTTTTAACCAGGTACAAAACCTGCTGTTGAGGTCGTACGCAAATTCTAAATGTTGTGGATTCACTCTTCAAACACACCGGTGGGCTGAAGAAGTAACTAATTGGCGTTTTGTTAACGTGAGACATTTTTTACTGATTGGGCATGTCGGGTGGTGGAGGGTTGCGACACATTTAACGTCACTCTTTAAGTGCTCGTTCTCTATGTACTGTTGGTTGTGGAGATGGTGGTGTGTTCGACGGGAGGTGGTATGTATACATGTTGACCTTTTTTCGCACTATACGTAGCCAAACGTGCTAATCGGAGGTGCGGGGGATGCAAAACAAGCTAAACACAAAACGCAGTTGTGAAGAAATGAGTTTTCAATCTAGATGATGATTTAAAAATGCATAGCTCGAGTTCCTTCCTAATATCGGAAGGAAGAGCATTCCAAACGGCCGCAGAAGCGCATCTGAAAGCGCGCGATGTGGTGACCACCGTCTTTGCTCGACGGTCAGCCGAAAGCCGCTGCTGCTGCGAGGATGACCGGAGTTTGCGTGACGGTGGATCTTGCTGCTCGACGAGATCATCAGCGAGGTGTCGTGTTTCCATGTCGCTCTGTTAAAGTGCTCGCGCCGTAGAGCTAAGCTCTCATGCCGCCCACCGTGCCCCCGCAGCATCGACGCTGGTCCAGGTGGACGAGGCCGGCAGGAGGGTGCGACCCGTGCTGCCCAAGCGCTGCATCGTGATCCTCCGCGAGGTTCCCCAGAGCACGCCACCCGAGGTGGGCACCGAGGCTGGTGCTGCCGCACCTTCAAACCGCCACGCCGCACTACTGCACCACCACACTGCACCACCGTGCCGCGGTACCGCACCTCCACACCGCACTACCGCACCGCGTCGCCTTCTACACAAACACAGGCCCCTTGACGTCGTGCCGAAACAATGCCTTTGTCATAAAACCTGTCGGCGTTTCTGGAGAGTTACGGAAACCTCCTTTAACTGACGACGCGTGACACGGAAGTGTCGGGCTTGTGCGAGCGATGGTGCCCTGGGGATGAGCTTTAGGGCCAGCGCCGGTGTGCCGGAACTCGAGGAAGAGAAAGCACCTCGCTTTGTTCGCAAGCTCGGACAGGCGACCTCCGCCGTGCCGTTCAGTGGCCAATGCGGCACTCCCCCGCCCCCCCACCCACCTGCAGCCCGTCTCTCGCGGAGCGGCACGGCAGCAGACAGCCTTCACCCCCGGCCCTCTCAGTTTCCCACCCAGGCCCACAGTGATATTTGGTCGCGCATGCGCGAGTTGAGCGAACAGCATGACGCGAAGATGAAGCAAGCTGGAATGTAGCGTGCCGTGGAATAGACGAAAGGTAGAGAACACTGCCCTAGACCCCATCCGCTGGGCCCCCCGGGGGTTCCGTTTTCTTACCCAGTTGCGGCGCCGGCCGTCGTTTTGTCGCCCGGCAGGAGATCGAGGCGCTGTTCAACGGCGAGCACTGCCCGGGCTACGTGGGCTACGAGTTCGCGCACAACGACAGCTGGTACATCACCTTCGACTCGGAGGCGGACGCTCAGCGGGTCAGTTTCACGAGCCCCCCCTCCCACCCCCTCTCGTCCTCCCGTTCCCCCCTACCCCCCCGCATGTCTCCCCATTTCCCAAACCCGTCTTTTCACGGCCTAAGCCTCGTCACGGTCGGATCTACACAGTATAAAGTATTGCTTGATACGGAATCTCGGGCACGTGTACAACTAGTACCTGATGCAACGGAAAATAATAACACGACTGATCACCGCACAACGGTAGCACAACATGATTTTCAAATTGGCAAAATGTTTTCAAGATGACCGGTAACATCTTATATTACTGAGGTGGGCGTGGAACATGCGGCCCCGCTAATTAATTTAATTCCTCTTGTGGCAACATAGGGCCTACGACTTGAATATGGCCTATAACCAACAGACTGTATGTTTGTGTATGTCCGCTAGGCCTACAAGTACCTGCGGGAGGAGGTGAAGGTGTTCCTCGGAAAACCAATCATGGTGGGTCGACATGCCTTCCCCACAATGCACTGCACCTGTAAAATTTATACACTGAAGTCGTCAGCGGGGATTCGTGTCCCTGTATTGATTTGGCCCCGCCCTCAGAATCTGATTAATCGCCACAATCCAGGGGTTGTAATTTGATTGAAGAGTAAATTAGGGTTATTAAAATTTTCGATTTTTGCAGTACCGCTAGCCGCATGAAAAACAACAGGATTGCCGCATACACAGAGATGTCTAGAGCATTAAACAATCACGGTTTTACCTTTCCTACTGAGAAACTAACGGAACTGCCACAGTGCTGTAATGGCTAATCACACCTCTGGCCGGATTGATTCCATCTCCCGACAACAGCAGTTGAAAGAACGGTGCGTTACTAAACTATGCAAATTTTTATTTTACCAGGGTAAGGCCTATCGAGCTATGTAGCTCTTTATCAGAAGTAACAAATGATCGCTCAACAAAGTGGTTGTTTTGCGTCGGTTTCCTCCGGGTTCTTTGTTTTCCTCCCATAGTGAAACTAAGACAAAGATCCTCCATATAACCTTTACATACTTTTGAGGCAAGTGCTGTTAGCGAGCACAAAATGAAGGCTAGCACGGCACACGAGGGGTGGGTGGCCAGCACGACACTGACCGCCTTTCCTGATGTCCCCGGTGCTGATGTTCACACATCAGCATCAGGTGCTCATTTGAAGCTGAGGGGAGGCCCAGGACCGGTTCAGATAATCGTCATTGGTGTTGGCCATGAGCAAGAATTGAACTCGGGTCACGGGGTGCGTAACGCAGCGCGCTAAACGTTATGCGACCACTCCCAAAACACAAACGCAACATTGCCGGAATTGGCCATGCATCCCAATGCTGTGGCGGGAAAAATTGGAGGAACCGGAGAAAAATCCACACGACTACGGGGAGTGAGAGAGAGACGCAAACCCCAAATATACAGCAGCAGGCATCCGGGTCGGGATCAAACCCACGACCTCCTGTACACCAGGCGAGGGAGTTAACATCTAGCCACCGTGATGATGATGAGAGAGAGAGAGATGCAAACCCCAAATATACAGCAGCAGGCATCCGGGTTGGGATCAAACCCACGACCTCCTGTAGACCAGGCGAGGGAGTTAACATCTCGCCACCGTGGTGATGATGAGAGAGAGAGACACGCAAACTCCAAATATACAGCAGCAGGCATCCGGGTCAGGATCAAACTCACGATCTCCTGTACACCAGGCGAGGTTGTTAACATCTCCTAGCCACCGTGATGATGATGAGAGAGAGAGACGCAAACCCCAAATATATAGCAGCAGGCATCCGGGTTTGGATCAAACCCACGACCTCCTGTAGACCAGGCGAGGGAGTTAACATCTCGCCACCGGCCGCGCATCTCGTAACCGCTGCCATGCCGCCCCTGGCTTTTGCCGTCACGCGTGCAGGCGCGCATCAAGACCAAGCCGCTGGCCGTCAACCCCTTCATGGCGAAGCCTCTGCCGGCGCTGCCCGAGGCCGGGCTGGTGCCCGCCCAGGCGGCGCCGCCGCCTCCGCCCGCCCCTGCCAGCGTGACGCCGCTGTTCGCGCAGCAGATGTACAGCTCGGCGCCGCACCACCAGTACCCCGTGTACGGCGCCACCGTCGGCCCGCCGCCGCCGCCTCACCCCCACATCTGGCCGCCCTCCGCGCACTTCCAGCCGCCCGTGGTGAGTGGTGGCGCCCCACTTGGAACCACCTCCCCCCACTGCCCCCCCCCCCCACCACCACGATCTCCCCCCCACCTCCCCTGGTTCCATGCGGCAGGAGATGAGAATCAGAATCGGCAGAATCTTTGTTTTATTTAGACTGCAGGAATCCGATGAGCTTCACGAAGCTCTTTTTTACACGCCTATCCAGTGTGTCCAGATGGCGGTACAACAGCGGCGGTTCAGTCGGTCTGAACCTTAAGATCTGTTACGCATCGTATTCGGCTGTGAAGGAGCGCGGATTCTGTAAAGAAAATGTAACTAAAACCAAACGGAATAGAAAATAAATGTTTTTAGTCCGGTCTTGAAAAGCAAATAATTTGTTTATGGCCGGGTGGACTTCAGTTGGCAGACTGTTCCAGCCCACCGGTGCTGCAGATGATGAGCTCCGTTCTGTTGTCCAGGGCTGCGTGGATGTCACGCACAGTGCACAGTGTCACGCACAGTGTTACGGTCCACCAGGGGTTTTCAGCCAACACACCGGTAACAATGGCCTGCGGCGGGTTGTCCTAAAACTTTTCTCGTGTGTTATGACTTGAAGAAGGCTGAATGCGGGATCTGTGCTGGTCTGTGTGTGTGTTTTAAGTGTAGTGGTTTGTACGCTGCGTTACTAACCCAGGCATCTGAGATCGGTCGCCGCTCACACCAACCATGACAAATGATCTGGACCGGTCCTGGGCCTCCCCTCGGTCGACTTGGCTTCAAATAAGCAGCTGTGCTATATGTAAACATTATTACTGGGGAAACAAAGGTGGCCTGGCATGGTGCTGATCACCCACCCCCTTGTGTGCGATATCGCGTTCGTGCTTGTTAACAGCACTTGTCCCAACAGTCTATTAAAGGCCACACGGGGGATCTTTGTTTGTGTGTGCGTGCAGGCTTCCTTCGCCAGCTCGGGGTTTCTCAACGGCTTCACCGGGCCCATCCTCATCAAGCCGCGTGGCGGCATGAACCAGCCGAACGTGCGCAGCTACGCGCCGAGACAGAGGTGTGCAGTCGCACGCACGCGCACGAGCACCCAGTTACGCACGCACCTCCTGTTAGCAAGGTTGGTTACTACATACGTATGTACGTTGAACTTCTTTCTTACCGTACGTAGCCAACCGTGCTAATCGGAGGTGCGGGAGCACCAACATAAGGCTGCCCGCCCTATGTTGGCGCTGTCATCTCTGGCCATCCTCCTACATATGAGGGGGTAACCGCTGTGAAGTGGTGCTAGTTTTATCATCCCCAAGGAATTGATGGGCTTGGCCGACTTAATCGTCGATTGCCATCCCACGGTGTGCCACTGGACCCGGCTTAAGATGCCGCGCCTCCGATTAGCATGGTTGCTTACGTACAGTGCGAAAGAAGTTCAACTTGTATACATGTCCCACAAACTTTCACTCGATGCTTGCGTTGACCCTTGCTCTTTGCCCTCTGTGTCACAGCAGGACGTTAAGAGATCCCGTAGAATTGTTCGCTAAAGAGTTGGCTCCGTGTGTCTGCCGCTGGCGTCACGGTCCCATATTTTCCAAATTCGAAAATATATTCCAGATAGTCCTTAACTTACGGACGGCCCGTACTTACGGACGCCCGTACTTACGAACGTCCGACTTTACGAACACCCGACTTACGGGTCGCGCGTTCTTATTTACGAACCAATTTCCATGAAATATAGAAAAATAGCATGGACTTAAAACGTGAACTCGCACTTGAAAACGGAACAGTGGAACGATTTTCTTCAGAGGAGCAATCCTCCGCGAGATTTAACCAGTTTAACTCTGCTTCCCTTTTTGAACCGTCGCACATTTCACATCACTGACCATATGCATTGTTGTGTTCCGACTTTCAAACCGTTCCACTTGCGAACGGGTCTCGGGAACGAATTAGCGTCATCAACCAAGGACTGCCACACTCGCAAATTGCTTAATTGGCTAGGAGGAAGTAAGTCGCATGGCGACACCGCTGCCCGCTGCGACGTGACCGCGGGGCTGCCGTCTGTGAAACACGGCATCGGCGGCACCGCCCTCGTGGCAGCCCTGCGCTGCTAGAATTGCCGCAATACCAAAATGCGTGCTTGTGTACAAAATGTGACGGCGTAGGCGCAGCCCTGCAATTGCGTGTTGATGCCGCTGCTGGTGGGAAGGGGGCCTCCACGTGAGGCAGCTCTAGAGTAGCCCGCTCCCACACCACACGCGACGTGCTGATCATCGCCGTTGCCGCCCGCAGGAGCCACAACAACCACAACAAACCGCCGAGCCGCCCTTACGTGAAGACCGACGGCGGCACGGTGGTGCCGCTGTCGCTCGTGCAGACTGCGCCCCCGGACCGCCGCCCGCCCTACGTCGGCGCTTCCATCGCCGGCCCCCCGCCTCCTCCGCCTCCTCCGCCTCCTTCCGCCGCCATCTCTGGGCCGATGGGCGCCCCCCGCATCGCTTCGCTGCCGCAGTCGCAGCCGCCGCCGCAGTCCGTCTCGGCGTCGGCCGCACCGTCGCTGCACCGCCCCGCGATGGCCCGGGACGCCGCGGACGGCGAGAGGCAACCGCCGGCGGAGGTGCCGTTTGAACGGCCGCCCCTGGGCCGGCGCGCTGAGCCCTGGGATGCCACCGCCTACACCAGGCCGGGGTGAGGCCGCGTGGGTTGGGGGGACAGCGGAAAAAACGGCGCTAAGTTCGTCGTTTCGCAGTGGTGACACTCGAGGCTCACAGGGCACAAAGATCCTGGATTCGATTCCTGACTCGAGCGCCTTTATTGTGCGCTGTTTGTGTGTTGTTCCCACCCCTGTTTGTGTGTTGTTCCCCCCCCTGTTTGTGTGTTGTTCCCACCCCTGTTTGTGTGTTGTTCCGATCCCTGTTTGTGTGTTGTTCCCACCCCGTTTGTGTGTTGTTCCCCCCCTGTTTGTGTGTTGTTCCCACCCCTGTTTGTGTGTTGTTCCCCCCCCTGTTTGTGTGTTGTTCCCACCCCTGTTTGTGTGTTGTTCCGATCCCTGTTTGTGTGTTGTTCCCACCCCGTTTGTGTGTTGTTCCCCCCCTGTTTGTGTGTTATTCCCACCCCTGTTTGTGTGTTGTTCCCATCCCTGTTTGTGTGTTGTTCCCACCCCGTTTGTGTGTTGTTCCCCCCCTGTTTGTGTGTTGTTCCCACCCCTGTTTGTGTGTTGTTCCCCCCCCTGTTTGTGTGTTGTTCCCACCCCTGTTTGTGTGTTGTTCCCACCCCTGTTTGTGTGTTGTTCCCATCCCTGTTTGTGTGTTGTTCCCACCCCGTTTGTGTGTTGTTCCCACCCCGTTTGTGTGTTGTTCCCCCCCTGTTTGTGTGTTGTTCCCCCCCCTGTTTGTGTGTTGTTCCCATCCCTGTTTGTGTGTTGTTCCCATCCCTGTTTGTGTGTTGTTCCCCCCCTGTTCGTGTGTTGTTCCACCCCGTTTGTGTGTTGTTCCCACCCCGTTTGTGTGTTGTTCCCACCCCTGTTTGTGTGTTGTTCCCACCCCTGTTTGTGTGTTGTTCCCCCCCCTGTTTGTGTGCTGTTCCCACCCCGTTTGTGTGTTGTTCCCCCCCTGTTTGTGTGTTGTTCCCACCCCTGTTTGTGTGTTGTTCCCCCCCCCCCCCCCCCCCCCCCCCCTGTTTGTGTGTTGTTCCCACCCCTGTTTGTGTGTTGTTCCCACCCCTGTTTGTGTGTTGTTCCCACCCCGTTTGTGTGTTGTTCCCCCCCTGTTTGTGTGTTGTTCCCATCCCTGTTTGTCTGTTGTTCCCATCCCTGTTTGTGTGTTGTTCCCCCCCCCGTTTGTGTGTTGTTCCCACCCCTGTTTGTGTGTTGTTTCCCCCCCGTTTGTGTGTTGTTCCCATCCCTGTTTGTGTGTTGTTCCCACCCTGTTTGTGTGTTGTTCCCATCCCTGTTTGTGTGTTGTTCCCATCCCTGTTTGTGTGTTGTTCCCATCCCTGTTTGTGTGTTGTTTCCCCCCCGTTTGTGTGTTGTTCCCACCCCTGTTTGTGTGTTGTTCCCATCCCTGTTTGTGTGTTGTTCCCACCCCTGTTTGTGTGTTGTTCCCACCCCTGTTTGTGTGTTGTTCCCACCCCCGTTTGTGTGTTCCCATCCCCCGTTTGTGTGTTGTTCCCACCCCTGTTTGTGTTGTTCCCACCCCTGTTTGTGTGTTGTTCCCACCCCTGTTTGTGTGTTGTTCCCACCCCTGTTTGTGTGTTGTTCCCACCCTGTTTGTGTGTTGTTCCCACCCCTGTTTGTGTGTTGTTCCCATCCCTGTTTGTGTGTTGTTCCCACCCCTGTTTGTGTGTTGTTCCCACCCCTGTTTGTGTGTTGTTCCCACCCCTGTTTGTGTGTTGTTCCACCCCCGTTTGTGTGTTGTTCCCCCCCTGTTTTGCGTCAGTTTCCTCCGGGTTCTCCGTTTCCTCCCAGAGTTAAAATAAGACAAAGATCCTCCATATAACCTTTACATACTTGCGGGGCAAGTGCTTTTAGCGAGCACCAACTTGGGAGTGGGTGGCCAGCACCACACCGACCGCCTTTGCTGATGTCCGCAGTGCTGATGTTCACACATCGCACCAGGTACTCATTTGAGGCTGAGTTGACTTAGGGAAGGCCCAAGACTGATTTAGATAATCGTCATTGGTGTTGGCCGTGAGCATCAATTGAACTCGGGTCGCGGGGTGCTTAACGCAGCGCGCTAACCGTTATGCCACCGCTCCCAAAACACAAACGCAACATTACCGGTATTGGCCAAACATCGCAATGCTTAAATATTTACCTCCAAATTTTCTAAATTGGGATAACACAGCAATGTCAACCCCTGCTGCGAAAACTTGTCAGGACCCTCTTGATGCTCATTGAGGCTTTCTTGGGTAAGCGTGCAGACTAATAAGAACATTGTATTGACACTGGAGTGACGATTGGCTGAGTTGACCCTTCTACCCTCCCCCATAACTGGATTTGATCTCAAGAACCTTTAGTTTAGAATTTGCTGTGTCAATCCAGGCGATGGCATTAGAGCCAAGTGGATTCATGAATCCATCTGTGCTGGTTTTTGAGCATTATCCGCGTGTGCTGGGTATTCCTCTGTTCACCAGGTTCCTCCCGCACATACAAACACTGCTGCAACTGAGTCACGATTCCCTTTTGTGGTCCAATCACGCGAGTAAAATACGTGCGTTATCAACCCTCATCCACCAACGCAGCCAGTCAATAAAGGTGGCCGAGACTGTGAAAGATAAATAAATTACATGATTTTTTCGACGATGATTAATTTAATGTTGTTTTGTTTCCCGAATCTCAGGCGAGGAAACTATCAGGAGAGGAGAAAGGACGAGGCTGTGATGGTAAGTCTTCTCAAAATGATGTTTCACTCCGCCACGCTGCCGTACGGTCACGACGATGACGACCGGCAGAGGCTCGTCGCTCCAGCGAGGACCCATTGGGACTCGTTCATTCATCATCATCATTATCACGATCCATGGGCAGATAGCCCGTGCAAGCGCACGTCCGATTTAGCGTGGTTGGCTGCGTACGGTGCGAAAGAAGTTGAGCATACACATACATCATTCACAATGGCTAGCACACTGGGCTTCCAGGGGTCAGTGGTTCGATCTCTCGGCGCAGCAGTTAAACATTTTTCGAATCTTCCCCGTCGCCGCTGCTGTTGCCTCTGTCCATCCAGCAGTGTGAACGGGGCACGTCGCAGTTGGTCGGCTGGTCGCGTGTGACGGGTGAGGTGTGAGTTGTGAGGCGTGTGGCGGGTGTGGCGGGTGAGGTGTGAGTTGTGAGGCGTGTGGCGGGTGTGGCGGGTGAGGTGTGAGGTGTGAGGCGTGTGGCGGGTGAGGTGTGAGTTGTGAGGCGTGTGGCGGGTGAGGTGTGAGGTGTGAGGCGTGTGGCGGGTGAGGTGTGAGGCTTGAGGCGGGTGGCGTGTGGCGCTTGGAAGAGTAGACCAGAATTCCCTCGGGGCTGTATAGAGCCCCTTCTAGTGGAGTCCCTTTCCTTCAACAGGGGATAGCCCTTGGAGGTTCATTCATAAACTGAATAACCAGGTGAGAGCTCATTGAGACTCTTGATATGGCAAAGCGCTACCTGTGTCACGGCGGTAACGGCGCGGTGGAACTGTCGGCCTAGGCTCCCCGTCCTCACGCCACAGCCGCCCCTGTGGAGGCCTTGCCGGAACCTCGGGGCCCAGCGGAGGAGGCGACCGAGCGGAAAGACCGGGCGGACGCCCTGGGACCGCCGGCATCCATCGCTGCCATCACCGCCACCGCAGCCGTCACCGCGACGCCGACACCTGCCCTCCCACCAGCCAGGGTGAGTGCCGCATCGCGATAGCTTCTCCCCCACCGCATCGCGTCACACCTGTCTTTTACTCTAGCTCCCCTCACAGGCGATCCGAGGCTCCCGAGCTAGACCGAGGTTCTCAATGGAAAGCCCGATGGAGATCTTCTTTCGTCTGGCTGATGTAGATGCAGAGCAATAACAACTACAACTTCACAGATATAGATATAGGTGACCTTTTTGACCAGTTGAGAGACGAGGAATGGAATGTGAGTGAGGAGCACCGTCCACCCAGGAGATGATGCGAATTCAGTCCGTTCATGTGCAGGTGCTAAGGTGGGTTGTTACATCGCAGGATCGTGAGAGGTGGCAGCATCCTGGGGAGACTTTCATCCAGCAGTGGATTGACCATGGCTGATGGTGATGATAATGCATTTTATCAGAAATCCCTTTCAACACAAACTTTTAAACATGACTCGAGAAAGGTGCTGCTTTGCATGAGTTTCTGTGTGGAATGGGAGATCTGTATCGTATGTGTCTGTGTCTATATGCGTGTCTTTGTGGGGAGCGGTATTGCAACGGTTTGCGTCCTGCGCCGCGAACCTGACGACTCCGAGTGCGATTACCTCTCACGGCCAACACTAGTGCCGATGTAAAGAGCGCCACTATGTAAACATCGTCACTAGGGAGACAAAGGCGGTCGGGCGTGGTGCTAGCCATCCACCCCCTCGTGTACCATGCCGGCCTTCATAGGTGCTCGCTAACAGCACTTGCCCCAAAAGTATATAAAGGCTAGACGGGGGATCATTGTCTTCTTGTACTGTGTGTATATACTCTGTGTGTACCCTGTGTGTATACTGTGTGTGTGTACACTGTGTACTTCATGTGTGTGTACCCTGTGTGTGCGTGTACCCTGTGTGTGCGTGTACCCTGTGTGTGCGTGTACCCTGTGTGTGCGTGTGTGTACGCTTCACGTGTGTCCGTGCCATTGTGGCGGAGTGTAGGGCCCACCCGTGGAGGAGAAGGCCGCGGCGGCCTCGCCGCTGTCCGTGCCCTCCGTGACCACGACCCCGCCGCGCCTGCCCTTCTCCCTGCCCTCGGGGCGCCTCGACCAGCCAGCGCGCACCACCCCACACGCTGCCGGGTACAGCCCACCACCCTCGCCACCCTCACCCGCAGGGCTGGCAGCAGCTGCTGCTGCACCCTTACTATACCTTGATTCACCCTGCTGAACCCTGGTTCACCTGTTAAACCCTGGTTCACTCTGCTAAACCCTGGTTCACCCTGCTAAACCCTGATTCACCCTGCTAAACCCTGGTTCACCCTGCTAAACCCTGATTCACCCTGCTAAACCCTGGTTCACCCTGCTAAACCCTGGTTCACTCTGCTAAACCCTGGTTCACCCTGCTAAACCCTGGTTCACTCTGCTAAACCCTGGTTCACCCTGCTAAACCCTGGTTCACTCTGCTGAACCCTGCTTCACCCTGCTAAACCGTGGTTCACTCTGCTAAACCCTGGTTCACTCTGCTGAACCCTGGTTCACCCTGCTAAACCCTGGTTCACTCTGCTGAACCCTGGTTCACCCTGCTAAACCCTGGTTCACTCTGCTGAACCCTGGTTCACCCTGCTAAACCCTGGTTCACCCTGCTAAACCCTGGTTCACCCTGCTAAACCCTGGTTCACCCTGCTAAACCCTGGTTCACCCTGCTAAACCCTGGTTCACTCTGCTAAACCCTGGTTCACCCTGCTAAACCCTGGTTCACTCTGCTAAACCCTGGTTCACCCTGCTAAACCCTGGTTCACTCTGCTAAACCCTGGTTCACCCTGCTAAACCCTGGTTCACCCTGCTAAACCCTGGTTCACTCTGCTAAACCCTGGTTCACCCTGCTAAACCCTGGTTCACCCTGCTAAACCCTGGTTCACTCTGCTAAACCCTGGTTCACTGTTTAAACTCCGATGCTCCCTGGGGAACCCATCGTGTAACAGCGTGTTCACGCCGCGTGTTATGGTTCTGTCCGTTCACCCGCTCCCCACAGAGACGCCAAGATCACGGTGGCAGCGGTGCCACCGCAGCCGGCGCCAGCCAAGCCGGACGAGACCCCCGTCTCCCGGCCCGGCGACACGGGGGCCGCACCGCCGCCTCCGCCGCCGCCTCCTCCTCCTCCTGCGCCGCCGCTGCTGCTGCTGGCGTCCACGCCGGCTCCGCCGGCGCCGGCCCCCCAGTGGGGGGGACGCGAGGTCCCGTCGGCGGTTGCGCCCAGGGAGGAGCCCCGGGGCGGCGCCGGCACGGCCGCTCCCGCGCCGGCCGGGCCGGCTCCGACGGCGTCTCCTCCGCCGGCGCCCGCCCTCGTCGCTCTGAGCAAGCAGCAGCAGCCGGCGCCCGCGGCCTCTGTAAGTCCACCCGACGGCGCATGTTCGGCGCTCGAGGTGTTTTGATGTCGGTCGTCGTTTGTGGCCGGGTCGCTTCGTAGCTCTGTGGGTCTTACCTGGTTCAATCAAAATGGTTTAGTTTTATAGTTTAGCTCTCTCCTTCCTGTTCACCTCTTGCTCCCCTTCACTGGAACCAACTCGCACTGCACGTAAACCAATCCTGTTGACTAACCAGCTTCCTCCCTTCCCTAAAACAACCACCGACTCTTCTCCCTCGCCTATCCGACTGCTACTCCCTGCCCCGGCCCCCCAACTACGACCAGGCCTACCCCAACCCCTACCACTCCCCCTATCACCACCCCTATCACTATCCATACCCCATCCCCTCCCTGTCACTACCCCTATCACTACCCCATCCCCTCCCTATCACTACCCCCAACCCCTCCTTAACCACTCCCACCTGCCCTCCTCCTCACTGTCGCCACAGCTGTTACACCAACACTCCTCAATCACAACGCCACTCTTTATTTTAGCCGCCATCTCACACACAACTTTACAGTGATCGTGAAGCGCCTTGTACAAAGACGCTGCTCTACGAATCTCCGTGAGATGAGAAAAAACGAGCTCGGTCGGGCTTGACCGCAATATCACGCCGCCCCTTTCGCTCCGCAGGAGGGGAAGAAGCTGAGCTACGCCGACGTGTGCAAGCGGCCGCCCAAGGAGACCCCGCCGGGCGCGCCGCCGGTGCCGCCGGAGGCCGCTGCCGCGTCGTCCCAGACGGCGGCCGCCCCTGCTCCGACCCCTTCGGCCGCCGCCACGGCGACGGCGAACGCCGCCGACAAGGGCCCGCACGGCACCCGCGACGACGGCAACGCGGAGAACGGCCCCGCGGCGGCGGCGGCCGCGGCCTCGGGAGCGCACGACGCCGACGGCGTGAGTGGCACCGCGAGCGTCGGGGGGGGGGGGAATGGCGGCAGTGGTGGGTGCGTCGGGAGTAGACGTGGAGAGAGGTTTGGCCAATTGGTCCCTTGTGTCACGTATATATGCACGTTGAACTTTTTTCGCACCCTACGTAGCCAACCGTGGTAATCGGAGGTGCGGGGGAAAGGACGGCAAACTGAACACAAAAAGCATTTGGAAAGAAATTAGTTTTCGATATAGATTTCAGGTGTGTAACGTGTGCCTGTGTGCCAATCGGAGGTTGGCGCGGGAGCTCGCTGTGTGCTCGTCCCCCCCGTGACGTCCGTCTCCCGTTCCCTTTCGCTCAGCTTCCCGTCGATTCTTCCGGAGGCGGCGAGGGCAGAGCGAGGCAGAGCGGTGGCGCCGGCATGGACGGCGACCGCGGCGGCGGGAGCCCCACTCAAGCGCGCTACCACCGCGAACCGCGCGGCCGCAACCCCGGCTGGGGCCGCCGCTACCCGTTCCACCCGCCCGCCCGCTACCCCACGGCCCGCCGCAACTACCCGCGCTACAACGAGCGCTTCGGCGGGCAGCAGCTGCCAGCCGCCGGCGGGGGCGGCAACGCCGCCACCTCGGGTTCGGCCGCAGGCGGCTTCGCCGATTGACGGGCGCGCCAGCGGCAGAGCGAGAGAGCTGCGGGTGCCGCTCCCCGGGGGCGAGTGGGGCGGACGTCGCCTGACAGCCAGCCCCCCCCCCCCCCACCCTCGGGCTCGGATGGTCGACCGTGGGCCGCCCTCTCGCCCGCCTCCACGCGTCTCTCTTCGAACCCGGCAGTCGATTCCTGCCTCTGTGTGGGGGTGGGGGGGGGGTAGGAGGATGGTAGCCACCCAGGCCTATGCGGGGTCAGCACTACCTGGCGCTTTCCTGTTTCCTGCGCTGCCATCACCTTCTTACGCGTCTTCTTTGCCGAAACGACAACTTGCCGACGGCAGCGGCTGCCCTCCGCCCCACCTCCCTGCTGATGATGGTGATGATGAATTTAGGGTGGATTCGAGGAGAAGCTAGGGTTGGAACAATACACTTTCATTGCATTTTTTTTTCCGATTCAGCTGTCGTGTGGTTGGTGAATTTCGCACGCTGCGAGGTTGACAAGGGACGATTGTTTTTTTTGCGCCGCCTCCCAGGATAGTGTTAGTTTTATTTGTCTCTTGCGCGTGCAAGGATCGGATGACGTTCGTTTTCTTTTTGTTTTTACTCGAGGATCAATTTACTCTTGCTTCCTTTTAGCGGTCCCTTTTAAGTTTGTAATGTTCACGTAGAATCGCGAGGGTGCGCTGAAATACGGAAAGCGGCAACTTGCGACGAAAACAACAAAACGCTTTGAAAAAAAAAAATGTAAAAGTAAAAAAATGTGTACATAGGACGGCGCTGTTGCGGGCCTGTGGAGAAGAAGCGTTGGCCCGAGCAATGGGGAACGGCGATCGGCACCGCTGAGGTGCATCGGCTTAGCGGAGCGCGAATCGCAGCACGTTTTGATTCTGAGTAAATGTTCTTAGTTGCTTGGGCTAATGTTCAACACTTTGTTATAACTTAAAGGAAAATGTTATTTTTTTACATGCGATGTCGATTGCAAAAAGAGAGATGATTTTATCGTTTGATTCAGGATACTCTTTAAATTTATTCGGTTCGATCGTCCTTTCATTGCGTGCGTAATTTTCTTTTCGTTTTTTTTGCATTTCCTTAAGTGCCTTGACCCTTTGTGCGATCCGCGAGCCGGGGCGGGCGAGGCCGCGACCTTGCCTTCACGTGCAGATGCCCCGCGGGAAGTTAAAACAAAACAAGAAAAATATATAGTGTTATTATCATCATCTACTTTTCACATTTTAATTTTTTAATGATGTTTGTTCCTTTCAGCTTGTTAGTTAAAAAAAAAAATTCTTTTTTTTAAATCGCTTCCGAACGCGCTAATTAATCCGCCTCTCTTCGCGCCTCGCCCAATCAGTGCGGCCTGCAATTATTTGGCTTGTTTTAATGTTTAAAATGTTAGGCCTGGATGCGACAGCAGAGCCACCTCCTCCGCTCGTGCAGCGTGCAACCCCTCCGCCAGTGCCGCCCCCCTCCCCACAACCCTCACAACCGTAACCCCAGCTCGCTCGAGTTTTATGTGCAATAACGTGGTGGACAATCACGCCTGGGGGCGACACAAAAGCGGGAGAGACGCAAAAACACGCTGGAGACGGGAGGGACGGGGACACGGGGCAGCCGAACAGCACGGACCGGAAGATCTGGTTGCTCGGGTAACTAAGCCATAACTGGACGTTCTTTACTACTTGAAAACCGAAGCAGAGCTGTTGAACCTATGGGACTCTCGAAACGGACCCTCGGATGTAAATAGGCTGGCGCATGCGTGCGCGCTGGTTCTGGCGAGCGTGCGTTGGTGGCGATGTACATAGATGTGGCGCACGGTGAGCGCGCGGTGTGGTGCGGTGTCGCCGTCGACGTAGCGAGCAGGCTGCTGCAACTTGCCTTAGATTGCTTCGGCTTTGGCTCCACCAGAGAGTTGGCGGGGGGGGAGCAGGATTTAGCGACCGGGCGGGATGTCGCGGTGGATGCGTTAATGAAAAAAATCCACCTCTGTCCTTACCCCCCCCACCCCACCCGACGCGTGGCAGCGGTCGTAGCTCTAACCCTCGCGCCGGCGTTGACGCTCACGCAAGTCGTCGCAACCGCCTAGGCCCCACTGCCACCTTACACCGGATGCTAACGTTATCCAGGACCCTCCAGTGTATGCCTGGCTGTAATCCTGATCCTGCCATAACTTTAACCGCAAACCCCAACACTAACAGCGTCACGCGCGAGTGTGGGCGAGCGACCCGGCGGGCACTCACCCCCCCCCCCCCCCCCCTCGAGAGCGTTGACGGTCGTCACAGCCGCAAGACGGGCATCGGCGTTCCGCTATAACGATGTTCTGCTGTAACGACGTCGCGCTGTAACGACGTCGCGCTGTAACGACGTGCGTGTGCGCTCTCTTGCCGGTGTCGTCGTTGCTGTTGTACACGGTGTAGAGAGAGAGAGCGAATGAGAGTGTGCAAGTAGAGTCACGTCGGGTTTAAGGATTGCCTGAGCGGAGGGTTTCCTGGAAGCGCGTAATGGCAGAGCTTTAGCGTCGGGGAATCGGTCGTGCGTGTCATTTCAATTTCTTAGCTACTCGAAACTTTCTAATCAATTATCCGGCAAAAGCACCTGGTGGGGACCTCGCCTTGCATGTTGATCGCCGCCGGTTGATCCCAAGTGCTGCCTGACGTGCTGGCGTGCCGCCGTCGGGCTCGCTGTGACCCACCAGGCCGAACGATGCCCTTGTGAGTCACCCCGTCGTCTCGCTTCCTTCCTCTGCCCTCCCCGCTGACCGTCGGCGGCTCTGCCGCCGACGCCGCTGTGGCTGCCGAGGTTTCGGCGCGATCTCTCTCGGTCGTTTGTGCCGGGAACGCCGCTGCGACGGCGCAGTCTAGGTTGGTGGAGTGGGAAGGGGGCGGGGGGGGGGGGCAGGAGCGGGGGGGGGGGGGCAGGGGGGCGGGGGGGATTCCCAGGGAAGAGGTCGGGGGGGGGGGGATCCCCCCCGCACCGCCAACCGCTACCTCATGCGCACGTAAGCCCCAGCCGCTCCGCTCGCACAGCTCTTGCCGGAATTGGTGTCCGCCGCCGCCGCCGCCTCTGGGTGGCATCCCCCCCCCACCCGTCCCCTCCCAGTTTCACGCTGCGCCACAGCGGCGCTCGTCCCCGTTACTGCTCGGTCGCGTTGCTTGCTCAGGCTAACCCTTGCCGATGGCGAGAGAGGCCTGCAGTCGCCGATGCGACAAAAGCGTTCTCTGGCCTGGGGCGGACTGTAAGACTAAAATAATTTTTATTTTGAGCAAATGAAACCCCCCCCCCCCCCCCCCCCACACCTCCCCCGAGCAGACGCCAGCGCAAAGGCCAAGGGCCTGCTTCCTGGCGAATGGGGGTCGCGTTCCGATTTCCCAACCCCCCCCCCCCGCGCGGACTCCCGGCGACGCACGTGCAGTCGCTGCGAGCGCGGGAGAGGAGGGCTGACGTCCAGAGGGTTTTTGCCCGATCGCTCTGGTGCGGTTCCGCTCGTTCTCGCTCGACAACCTCCGTCAATGATGGAGAAGGAGGCAACATGTACGCCGATGGCGATGGTAGACCGGCGCGTGGAGCGAGGTGCCGGCGGCGTCGGCGATGGTGGCGGTGGCAACTTGTAGAAATTGAAGAGTTTTTATGGAGCCTTTTATCTGTGAGGGGCTGTGGGAGGAGGAGGGGGGGGGGACCGTGTGTTTTAGTAGGGGGCTGATTATTGACGGGGGGCTGTTGTGTCGCCTCTTGCGGTGAACACGTGGCTGAGATGAAGTGTCGCGGTCGGAGGCGCGGCGGGGGGTCTCTTTTTAGAAAAGTAGAAAATAAAATTACGTGTCGCTTGCTTATCGCCGCAGATGCTTGGAATAAAAAAAAATGAATAAAAATGTATAATAAAAAAAAACTGGGCTGAAACACCGTTAAGAACTGACGGCGACCCACAGCCCCAGACGCGTTGGCGGCACTCCGATGGGGGTCTCCGGGGCAGCTTCGTAGCCGCAGACAAATTCGTGGGAATTGCCACCCACCCACTCTCGCCGCCGCCAACACCACCATCCACCACCGCCGTCGGTCCCCTTGCCAACCCCCCCCCCCCCGCCCGCGCCTTCCCTCGCTTGCGCGTCGTGCCAGCTCGCTCGGATGAACCGAAAGAGGCCGTCGTACGCGGGACTTTTAAACGCGAACACGGGGGCACGTTCGGTTATGTGCCGAGATTTTGTTTGGCCGAATCGTTGGCATATGAGGCTTGGGCCGTTTCGGCGCAAAGTACGTGCGCGGTTGCTGGAGATCCCTGGAGCGTCGTGGTTTTACGTTGACACTATCGCAGAGGATTGGTGCGTGCGTACGAAGCGGCGCGTTTTAATTTCGTGTTTTTTTTTCCTCTTATCTGTGCGGCAAGACCGTGGGCGGTCGTGCGCAAGCCTCTTTAGGTGCCTTCTGTTCTTGATGGCGCTGCTCCCCGACCCGTCGGTAAAAGCGAGCGCGGTTTTTAGTTTAGTTTGTTTGACGACACGTGTTGTTGCGTTCTCCGCGGCATGGTTCACGCTGCGCAGGTTCCGCCCGCCCTCCCTCGCCAGCTGGGTTGGGGGGGGGTCGTTGTCCCATCTCCCGCTTGTAAGTTGAGCGAGAACTCTTACGGGCGCCCGTCAGGTCGGCCGATGCGTGGCTGGGGCAGTCTGGTGGGACTTGCGGCATGGCCCAAGCGGTCTGGAGTTCGTTCTCTTCCTAAGGAGGCCTTGCAACAACACCCTGGATGCACGCAGTTTGCATTTGCAGGAGGACTTGTGTTTCCCCGATTTTGAGCCATGATCTGACATTTTCTTTGTTTAGGGATTTTGTATTGGGCTTTTTGTTGTTGAGGACGTTCCTTTGCATTGTGGGTGACGTCGCAGCCCCCGTCGCGTAGTCTCCCAATTAACTGCACGCACGCAGCCGCTGGTTTCACCTCTCCCCTACTCTCAGCACCCCATCTAAATAATTGTATTGCGTAAGTGGTATCGAGCCGCATCTCGTTTGCATCTCGCGCGATTAACCAGAAACATTGCCCGTGTCTTCCCGAACACCGTCCAGGCTCTCAACCCCGACTTCACTTCGGTGAGCTGTCCTGGCCGCCGTGTCAGTGCATGGCCCTCTTCATCGGCAGCGCTGGACTCCGCTAGGCTCGTGCAACCCGTTGCAATCCCCGCTACTCGCTGCAGCTCCCACGTGGGGGGAACACGTCCGCCCTCAAATGCGTGGCAGGCGTCGGTACTCGCGTTGTACGCCGGCCTTCCCGCGCTGTGGTGCCGGCGCTGTGGTGCGAAAGCGCCGCTGGCTGTGAAAAACGAATTCCACAGGCAATCGGAGTTTGGTTGGGATGGCGGGGGGGGGGTGTTCATTGGAGTCGATTTGTTTGACTTTGTTTTAAACCAGAGATGGGGCACCCGAGCAGGCTTTTAATGATGGTCGGTCGGGGCATCGTTAGTTTTTTGTCAAGGAAAAGCAAAGACGGGGGGAGCAAATCGTTGCAAGCGTCATGACCGTGAATGGGGGCCTGGAGTCCGTTTTGAGTGCAGGGCTGTGAATCGGGTGGTGATGATGGTGATTCGGTAGCGTTACGGTTCGACTTGTGGATAAGGGTAGGGGTGCCAAATAGGGTGGGGTCGGGTTGGAGTTGAGGAATAAGGGTTGGTGGCGAGGAACCAGGGGTTAGTGGTTGGGGTTAGGGATGGGGTTCGGACCCACCGATTGGCTGCGGCGGCGTTCCCCATCGCACGTCGCCGCCGCCGTACCGCGCTGCCGCCAGCGAACGCCGGGTCCTGCCCAAGCCACCGCTTCCGCGGATTTCTTGCGCGTTTCGTGCTCGCGAGCGTCCAGGCTGTCCCACCCTTACCAGAAGCGCTCGCCCGGCGACCTTTTCACCTTGCGCATCATGCAGTGTTGGGAGGTCGCTTTAGGGACGCCGCTGTCGTATATTATGCAAGGTCCTCCGTGCGTGTAGAGTACGTACCAGGCGTGCGTGCGTGCCTACGTGACGTGTGTGCGTAGCGTGCGGGCTCATGATGAACGTGTAAAAAAATGCTCCTATAGTTCAGTGCGTTTTTTCTGAGATGCTCGTAGAGCCAAACTAAGGCAACTTGCCACATAGGTAGTGCAGAGATCGCAGGTATTATAATTGTCGTCGTCGTGGTAGTTATAATGGTTGTATGAAAGTCGTTGACGTTTGATTTAGATTGTTTTATTATTCGCGGCTCTTGAT